CAAGCGAAAAACATTCCAATTGAATATCGTTGCACCACTCCTTTAAGCTGCCGATTCTTCAATTGTTAGCTTCGCACTGATGGCATCTACGAAAAGATCCAAAGGTCAAAGATCAACGCTTTCAAACCCACATTGGTCTTAGTAAAGCACACTCCGAAGCAGTACTTCAACAAATGTTAAGGTTTGAGTGTCCCCTAAAAAGTCCCTCGCTCACGACTTTTCAGCCCTTGCGGCGTAGCACCCGTGGTAGCCGATGATCAGGGGTCTACGACGTCAGGGCCGAGGTCCGGACGTAGTGACGAGGCAGTTGACCGATGGCCGAAGGCTTGAATCAGGCCCCGTACGCCGGTGGCAGCCTATGACCAGGTGTCCGCCAAGGTCTGGGCCGAAGGACGTAGCGACGAGCCAGTTGGGCGTTGGCCGAAGGCTTGAGTCAGGCGCAGAACGTCTGCGGCACGGAGTGGCAGCAGGTGTTCAACTGCGCCACGCATGCAGTCTGGTCTACCTCCGGAAGGTTGGCGCCCGGACTGCGTGAGAAGTGGGTTGTGGGTCGGGCCTCTTGACGTCTGGTCACGCCGACGGAGGTCCGGCCTGGTCGCGTCTGCACCGAGGTCACGTGACTCCCCTGAGGTCACGTGACCCCCTCCTCAAGGTCACGTGACCCCCTCCTCGAGGTCACGTGACCCCCCGAGGTCACGTGACCCCCGCCGATGTCGCGTGACCCCCCGATGACGTCATCGTCACTGATGACGTCACCGGCATCCACATCGTCATCGTCATCATCACTGATGACGTCACCAGCATCCACATCGTCATCGTCATCATCACTGATGACGTCACCGGCATCCACATCGTCATCGTCATCATCACTGATGACGTCACCGGCATCCGCATCGTCATCGTCATCATTACTGATGACGTCACCGGCATCCACATCGTCATCGTCATCATCACTGATGACGTCACCGGCATCCCCATCGTCATCGTCATCATCACTGATGACGTCACCGGCATCCACATCGTCATCGTCATCATCACTGATGACGTCACCGGCATCCACATCGTCATCGTCATCATCACTGATGACGTCACCGGCATCCGCATCGTCATCGTCATCATCACTGATGACGTCACCGGCATCCCCATCGTCATCGTCATCATCACTGATGTCACCGGCATCCACATCGTCATCGTCATCATCACTGATGACGTCACCGGCATCCACATTGTCATCGTCATCATCACTGATGACGTCACCGGCATCCACATCGTCATCGTCATCATCACTGACGACGTCACCGGCATCCGCATCGTCATCGTCATCATCACTGATGACGTCATCAGTGACGTCACTGATGTCGTCACCGGCATCCGCATCGTCATCGTCATCATCACTGATGACGTCATCAGCGACGTCACTGATGACGTCACCGACATTCGCATCGTCATCATCACTGGTGAAGCCATCAGTGACGTCACTAATGACGTCATCGGTACCCGCATCGTCATCGTCACGGATGACGTCATCAGTGACGTCAGTGATGACATCATCGGCATTGGGGGTCACGTGACCCCCAAGGTCACGTGACCCCCCCCCCTGGTTAGTTTACCCCCCCCCCCCGTGCCCTTCCCTCCTCCTCCTCAAGAGCTGCGCTCTAATTCGGCGTTACAGGGAGTTGTAAGCGGCTTTCATTTTTTTTTGCTAAAATTATTAGTGCTTTTTATTTATTTTTTAATTTTGTCCGGTTCAGTCTGAATTATAGGCCGCGTTTTGCGGCTCAGCAAAGCGGGTTGCCTTGAGATTTTCAAGATCCCATACAGCTGACAACACAATACAATATACATGGAATTTACTAAGCCTAACTATCAGTTTTGGGAAGACGCGTGTTAGTTATAGTCGGTGACAGGTGGTAGAAGCTCCTCCCATCTCTTTCCATATTTGTAGATCGAAAGATCAGGAGGAGTCGACCTCCTCCCCAGCGTTTATTTTTAACCTGTCACCGAACACATTTTTTTTCTGCGTGGACGTTCAAACTTGCTACAGCTCGCAATGCATACAGCGTTCTAATTCAGTTGCTAACTTGCTCTGCTTGTGAAAACAGAAGAATCGTTCCCCCCGGAGGCATAGCTAGAGATTGTTCTCAGCGTGCGCGATCAGCACATTAAAAGAACTAAGCCAATTATATATAACATTGGTAAGCCACTGGCTAAGACAGGCCAATGTTGCCCAGCCTAAGCCAAGCGATTACCAATGTCGGTAATTGATTGGCTTAAGATGGCCAACATTGGCCTGTCTTAGCCAATCGATTACCAATGATGGCACCTCATTGGCTAACATAGACCAATGTTGGCCAGCCAAAGCCAATTGATTACCAATGTACGTAACCAATTGGCTAAGACAGGCCAATGTTGGCCAACCTAAGCCAACCAATTGCCAACGTTGCTAAGCCGTTGGCCAATGTTGGCCAGTCTAAACCAATCGATTGCCAACGTTGGTAAGCCATTGGCTGAGGTAGGCCAATGTTGGCCAGCCTAAGCCAATCAATTACCAACGTTGGTGAGCCGTTGGTCAAGTCAGGCTAACGTTGGCCAGTATATTCCAGTGTACCACCAATATTGGTTCTGCGATGGCCACATTGGCCCAATATTGGACCATTGTTTGCCATTTAAATACCAATGTTGGCCCGACGTCGTGTGCTGTCTGGGGACGATCATCTTTCAAACTTGGCACCTTCAGCGATTGTGTTTGAAAAACGCAGACGTGTATCTTGCTAAATACTTACATCACATGTGTACTAAATTGTACGAATTGAAAAATAAAAATAAAAGTATGTATATAACTGTTGGTCATATCTTAGCACTCGAATGCTTCAACAGTGAAAAACGAAAACATTTGCCAATTATCAATTTGTGCTGTTTCTTATTTTTTTTTTGTCTTTTTAGGGGTGTTTTATGAAACCTGTAAGTCGTTTTTTTAACCCCCCCCCCTTTTTTTAAGTGTCAATCTTTAGCATGCGATAGTGTAATTGAAGTGTAGAAGGATTGAGGTGTCTGTACGTTTATACAGCCAAGAACTTAGTCTATCTCAGCGGGCGACGTGCCTCCCAGCTGTAGATGACAAATTTAGCCAGTGCAGTACAACCGCTAGACTGGGGTTTTTAGAGGCGCGATGCAATGCTTTTTCTAATTTACCCAAATACCACTCAAAACGAATCGCTGAGGTTAATGACCGATAAAACAGGGTTTCGTTTTTAGTCACACGCACTAGAAGTCACAAAAAAAAAAGAAAAATGAGCAGTGTTCAATCCCTCAACTCGTAGCCAGAACAAGCGGCCACGTGATCTGGAGCCGATTATATGCCACCAATGTTGATCATAGCTACGCGCTGTGCTTAGCAAAGTACATGACACTAGCTGAGTTCCAGACATTGTTATGGTTCGGCCATCGCCGTCAATACAGTGATTGGACACGGGCCTTTACCCGAATGCTTCTCGAGATTCCGATTATTACGAGCCCAAATCAACTGCTCACGCAGGGCTCATGTCCAATCTATGAGACGCATTTAGGTATCGTCACTGAGGGATACTGCAACCCCCAGATACGTAATCAAGTTTTGTGAAGGAGAAATTGAAAGAAAACGCTCGCTTTTATCCTTGGAATTACAACTCAGCAAAGGTGTCTCCTGGTCAATGGTGTTGCGTGCGAGTATACTTCGGTCCCACTAGTGTCAGTAAGCTCGTGTAAAGTGAAAAACATTCCAAGCGAAAATCGTTGCACGGGTCTTTAAGCTTTAAGTCTTTAATCACGCAGTAGGGTTACACGACCGCACGGCGGTACGATGCTCACCCAGATCGAAACGGGCAGGAGTGCGGATTGAACCCAAGATTCCTGGGCTCTGCAGCGCGAGCTTTCGCTCCACGTGGCCCGAGCTAGTGTACGGTAGCCCACTCGTCTACCGATCCCTCCGTAATTACAGTTTACTAGAATACGGGCTAGTGTTTAAACCGGCGCGGCTCGGCAATGGCAGCTCGTGAGGATGCGCGTGTAGACAACAATCGCGGCGCTCGAATCTACAGGGCAGTAGAAAGTCGCTGAAGCCCGCACGTGATGCTGCACGTGGGCGTGAGCACGGTGCACGTGCTCAACCACCACCCTGTTGGTCTTACTACCGATCACGTGCTACCGATGCACCGGCGTCGACACCTGTCGCTATCTACACCACGCGCCTCACGCGAGCGGCTCCAGTCCCAACATTACCCCGTATTCTAGTACACTTAGCGTAGTAAAATGAGAGTGTTTGTCGCAACCGGAGATGCGCAAAAATTGCAGGTCCTATTTCTTGCTAGTAGAAAGAACTATAGTTTTGAAAAAAAAAACAAAAAAAAAACACTTTGCTTCGACAGCATATTTGCGAAGCAAAAACCTGGATATTGTTTTATCGCTGGCCAGGCGGCCTTCACCACGAACTAATAAACTTGAAACATTTGGCGCGCAACAAACCCTGTATAAGAAAACATGCTTAAATAAGAGAGACATTTCGAAAAAAGTTTCAAGAATTACAAAATATACAACTTATCTTTCAGCGTCGTTTGTTCCAGACATTGCTTCCTGGCGCACGTCTACAAACCTATCGGGTGTCGTATACCGATTTTTAATACAACTGCATTACTTAGAAACACACAGCAGCCTTTAGTATAATCTAAATATTTTAGCTGTTAACAAGCCACACCTTGTTCTGCAGGCAGACAGGCAGATTGGCCAGCTAAAATGTATAAAAATGAAACAGACAAGGGAATATCAATAAACGCATTTTATTATATCCAAAGTGTGTTAGCCTGCAAAAGCCTTTTCTTTTAAGACAAAATTGGTATTCAAGAAAATGAACAAAACGTCCGTCAGTCGGAACCTTCTTTACATTCCTATGAAAATATACTCCATCAAAATTTTCAAACAACGACTTTATACCCAGCACTGACTCGACGTTTTCCTAGACCCTGTGTTCACTTCCTGCGAAAAATGGGGCGCTTGTGGTACTTCTCCGACGCTTTGTACTTCTTGATATTGGGCAGCTCATCGAACGCATTGAGGTACTGGAGCAGATTTGGGAAATGCTCGAAAGCGGCTGGCTTGATTCCGCGAATCCAGTCGAGGGCTTCGCAGAGTATAAAGTCCACGTAGGTGAGTCTGTCCCCCAGGGCCCACACTCGCCCTTGGAGGAACTCGGCCCAGGGCTTAAGTTGGTCGTCCAGCGTCTCTTCACACTTTCGGGCCACTTCGGCGTCCGGGGAAAACATGTTTCGGCCCACGTCTTGAAAGTCTAGAGCCTGCTGCTCTAAGAAGTCCAGCTCGGTGACTTCTTCGTCTGTCCTGGTAATGGGAAACAAAAAGATCAGAAACATTGTTGTTTTCTCTTCTCATATATGTTCTTCGTCAAGTGATTCGGGTATTCTACAGACATCACAATAGCGACACATGCAGAGCTCACTTTAAAGGTGCGAGAAAGAACCTTAATTGTGTTCACCAACCGCCCTGGTTTTGCGAGTTGCGGCTGAGCATGCGCTTGAAGCGAGCTAGAAGCACGTTTTTTGACACCATCGAGGTTGTTTTTGTTAACGAATAATCGTTTATTTGTACTGCGTCTATGTTCCTCAGACTTCATGGACGCTACTGATTCGCTGTGCTCGTGGGGAGCGCAAGCGATCCCTTAGCAAAGTGAACCGGCCAGCTAACCACAAGTGTCTTGTGCCGTAAAATTAAAGTAAAATTCCGACCAGCTGCCTTAACCCTTCCTACTGCAATCATCTTTAAGCGACAATTCACTTGCCTCCTGGCTACGCACATGCTGACCAAAAACAAACATTTTCGTTTAATAATATGAAACCCTAGATACAATATTGTGAAACCCTGGCGACATTGACACGATCTGCATGTGCGACTCAACAACCTTTCAAAGTAAAGACATGCTTCAATGCGCGTCTTCGGATACACGGCTTACCTTCTACACCCTTTGCTCCTTGGTTTCTAGACTAGCAAGACGTGTCAAGGAATGAACACGCCATACTTGAAATGGCTGCAAGTGTCTACTTTTCTGGTTGGTTATTGGTTGCCTTTGTAATTCAGAGGCAGTGCAGGCTTGGGTCCTATCATACGCAAGAATGATGCTCTTAACAACATTTTTAACTACATTTCCGCTCATCTCTTACCTCACAAATTAACGACAGTACGATTTTCACACCCGCATAAAAAAGTTCCAAAAACGTAAAAGCAATTTTTTTTTCATTTGTGCTTTATAAAAATGTTTGATTGATACGTGTGGGATCACTGGTCAATACTTTACCCTATATTCAGCCTTAGGCATTAAGCCGCATGCATGCCTAGATGCCAACACGTCTAAAGCATCGAGCAAGGGTTTGGTAGTAATCAAGGCCTTCACATCTCGTCAGGCACGGCAAAGTCTAACGAAATTTTAGGAATACGAGCTAGGCGATGCTGCTTGATATTTGCATCGGAAAGTGTTCAAGAACGTTACCTGCCAGCCATGCCGTGTTTCCTGGCTAGGTAGCGCAGGATAGCAATGCTCTGACTTAGCTTGACGTCGTCGTCGATGTAGTAGGGCATGTTGGGAAACTTGAGACCCAGAGAGGACCTCTCAGCCCGCCACGCGGAGCTTATATAATCTGGAGGCCCGCCGAACGGGTATCGCTTGTCCTCGAATTCGACGCCCTTGTAGACCAGCAGGTTCCGGATCATTTGAGCTTTTCCCCTGGTGGCGAAGTACCCTACTGTTGGAACCATGCTTGCCTTCCTTGAGCTGTCTTTCTTTAAAGCAGGACCTTTTGTTCGCCTTTTACGTTTTGTCGCCAGAAAATCTGCTTTTAAAAGTCACTTTTCTGTTGATTGGAGTCCCTAGGCGATCACCTTACTGTTCGAAGCAGTGGACACTAGGCAAGATACTGAGCCCTCACTGTAATCAAACGTGCTAAAAAAGGTCGTTCAATAAAGCCTTTTTGACTCCTTTATATATGGACGCGAGCACAGCGCATTACACCGAAAGGGGAACAACCACGCGCATTCGTTCGCCATTTTCTTTGTTTTTCTGCCCAAACATAGTCATTGTTTTTCAGTTCGATGCCCTAGAGTCACTTTTCTGTAAACGTAGCCAATGATTGGGCAGCATAAAAAGAAAAAGCGGGATTTCGTTGGCTAGGGTAGTGCGCGATGGGTTGGAAAGGATATAGTCGCATCCTTGGAAACCCCGAGCATTATGTATTTTAGTATCTGCACAAAATAAATTGATAAACTACAAGCCGCTTTAATTTTATCAAATATTTATTCCATTTCCTTATTTTGTTTTCTACCTTCCTTTTTATCTTTTTTTCTTTCCCCTTCCCTCTTCGTCCAGCTGTACGTTGGTCGTTGTACAGCCAGAGGAAACGCAGGCGATCGGTGATCTCGGTGTGCTCGCATCTGAAAGGAAGGAAGAGTGTAACATTTCGCGCTTGTACTCGGACAACCTCTCGCTCATATCGTAATTGGTGTAATTGAAAACACCAGCGCGCGCACTCGCCGTCGATAAGTAGTAGGGTAGGCGCTTGAGGCGAACTGCGGCCACGAACGACAGTATACCACGGTGTAAAGTCGACTAGGCACAGATCGTCCATGTTCTTCAAGCACTTTTATACTTTTGCAGTGCATTCATGGTCCAGACGTCGGTGGACTCGGCGTTGAGCCCCTCTGCATCCATCTGCTCTCTTTTCTTGCGGCTCTTGACTCGATCGCTGGTCCACATGGTTGGCACAAACACGACCTCGTGACTTTCCTCCGACATCCGACACGTGTTGACGTAGCAGATACCAGGCTACCTCCTGCATAGAGAGAGAAGTACGCACTATATACATTTGCCGAGAACCGGCGTGCGTAAAAAGTACAAGTGTTATGGGTATGCCAAGGGGAGAAGTTTCAGGATTGCAAGCAGGAGCGGGTTTGGAAAGGTAATTAGTACTAATTACCTGTCAAGACGTCTCAACGGAGATAAGCATGTTGATGAAGACTCGTACAGCCTGCACTTGCACGAGCTGAAAGTGTAGGTTGCTCACACCGCGATTGCTCTTGTTAACATACTCAACAATGTGCGCCGCGCTGGAGTACTCGTCGATAATGAATTGGAGATCCGTGTGGGAGTTGAGCACAGTGATAATCCATGGACTGAAGGTGTTCGTTCACAACTAAGTCATGGTGTTAAACATGTTGAATAAACCTGACACTGGGGCAGAAATGAACACATAAGTCGAAGAAACAGTAAAAGACAGGACGACGCCTCAAACTCAGCTACCAGGTTTGTTTAGTCCGCCTCCTTAAGGCCCTGTCACACTGAGGCAACAGTTGAACAACTCTATCCGGCAACACGGGGAAGTCGTGTTGCCGGCGACCCTGTCACATCGAGGCAACAACAACAGTCGGGCAACATGTTGCTGCCGCCCGGACACCGTGTTGCCCGATCTCTTGTCCGACAACCCTGTCACACCGCGCTGACGGCGGGGACAACACGGGGAACACTCCGTCATCCTGATTGTTTACCTTCGTTCGTGTGCGGCGCGGAATCGCTGCAAATGTGACTCTACAAAGTGCGAGAGCATTCGAAGGGCCGGGAATTACCACAGTATACGACATCAACCAGTGACTGTGATTAAAAAACTTGACTCGGGGAGTATTTTCCGCTCTTTATTTTATCGAAATGTACTTCATTCACTGACAAAGCAGATAACCCTAACCGAGGAGAGTGACATCGCTGATATATGTTCGGGATTTACGCCACCGTATGAAGTGCTTTTGTCCGGTTCTTTCATGCAATTCCTATTTCTACTGTAAACTTGAGTTAGCACCGGCAGTACCCCAAAGCGTCTTTTGTAGCGTGGTGTGGAGCTGAACTGACAGTGCTTCAAAACTGCGACACCGACACGATCGGCCTTCATAACAATCGGCGGAATAAATATTTTTCAACACTGTCTACTTGCCTATTGCCTGCTATGTGATCGCTTCATTCCCCCAAGACGTCCTGGGTATTTTGAAAACAAATCAGGTGTCTGGTAGCGGCTGTTTCCAAGTTCCAAGAATCAACAATCATGATCAGAGTGGTCGTTTTATGCTTCGATTTTTTAATCTTTGGTTTTCTGGATTCTTTTTATTATACTTTATTAGCGGGTGAGTAGGCATGCCATTTTATTTCACTATCAGTAATGTGAGCTGGTCTCTAGGCAGTTCTAATTTCAAAATGAGGCTGAACGTTCACGACCGTAGCTGTGACCATTTCGAAAATCGCTTTCCGTAACTACGCAGCAGAAACATTAATCGAAAATATTCTCCGCGCGCCAGGCCTAATTATTGTTAAATAACGTTTTCCAAGCCTTTATTTGAGTAAGACTTTATTGATAGGGGACTAGCTCTACCATCGAAGCTATCTATGTTGTCGTGTTGCCGGCCCGAAATTCGCTCAGCCAGCAAACAGGGCAACACACATTGTCCAACACAAGTTGCTGCTGTTTTTGTTGCCGAAAGCTGTCATACCGAGGCAACATTTTAGTTGTCGTCCATGTTGTCGTGCTGTTGCCGCGATGTGACAGGTTTGTCGGACAACACGCGGAGCGAGCAACAAGTTGCCCGACTGTTGGACAACGTGTTGTGTTGCTGTTGCCGTCGTGTTGCCTCAGTGTGACAGGGCCTTTATGTAGCCTATAATCAGCCACCACCAACACGAAGAGGAAACCTCTAACCAGTTCAAACGCCAAACCCCCCAGTCAGCTGCCACCAACAGAAAGGGGCAATCTCTAAGCAGTCCAAACGCCAAGCCCTCCAATGTACAAAGTAGTATTATGAACGGCCTTCCGGTCGACTCGCAAAGATAACTCTACAATCTCCCCCAAAATTTAACAAAAGGATCAGTACCTATTCTATTCCAACCAAGATTCACGAGAAAAGCAATTCCCTCTCCACCAAAAAAAACAAACAAAAACAATTAACCTCATGCCAGCAATGAAGGGATGACACACACTGAGCCTGGAAAGCGGGGCAAGGTGTTCAGTACACACATCCCCTCCTAAAAAAAAAAAAACAATTATATTCTTAAAAAGCTTTTCAAATCTTTACCGAGCTGCAACAAAGCCTGACTTATACAATTGCCTATAGACTTTATCCGCACCGTTTCTCTTACTAATCGTTTTCCATCATTCCTCTCCGTGTGAATAATTTCTGTCTCCGACCAAATTGCAGTGCAGCTGTTTCATTCATGGGTATGTTTTGCGATTTCTGAGTTCGGCGCACGTTGTTGTTGTTGTTTTTTTGTTGTTGTTGTTGTTTTTTGTGTGTGTGTGTTCGCTTAATCCGTCGTTGATGCTTCGTGATGTCTGGCTTACATATCAACAATAAATTAAGCGAACAAAAAAAAAAAAAAAGAAACGTGAATAACAGTGCACCGAACTCAGAAATCGCAAAACATGTCCACGAATGTAAGAACTGCACTGCAATTCTGGCCGAGACAGAAATAATTCACAAGGGGAGGAATGATGCAAGAAGATTAGGGAGACGGTGCCGGATAAAATCTATAGCTAATTGTATAAGTCAGGCTTCGTACAGCTCGGTAAAATTCCAAAAGCTTTTTAAGACTTTAATTTGTTTTTTTCTTTAATTTTTCTTTTTTTTTCTTTTTTTTTTAGTACGGAATGTGTGTCCTACCTTTGCCTCGTTTTCCAGGTTCAGTGTGTGTCATCCCTTCATTGCTGGTATAAAGTTATTGTTGTTTTTGTTGTTTTTTTTGTGTGTGTGTGTGTGTGTGTGTTTTCCGGTGGAGAGGGCATTGTTTTTCGTGCCAACATTGGTTGGAATAAAATAGGTACTCATCTTTTTGTTAAATTTTGGGGGAGATTGTAGAGTTATCTTTGCGAGTCGACCCGAAGGCCGTCCATAGTACTTCTTTTTGTATTGGAGGGTTTGGCGTTTGGACTGTTTAGAAAGGTTGCCCCTTTCTGTTGGTGGTGGCTGATTGGGGGGTTTGGCGTTTGGACTGTTTAGAAAGGTTGCCCCTTTCTGTTGGTGGTGGCTGATTGGAGGGTTTGGCGTTTGAACTGGTTAGAGGTTGCCCCTTTGTGTTGGTTGTGGCTGATTGTGAGCTATATAAGGAGGCGGGCTAAATAAACCTGGTACTGGCAGCTGAGTTTGACTCGTCGTTCTGTCCTTTTTTGTTTCTTCGACCCAGTCTCAGGTTTATTCAACATGGTTAACATTCACCAGCTCGCCTGTACCCTTACTTTATTATTTAAGCCATGGTGTGATTGAAGATAACGGTGGGACGTCACAGCATGACACGGATCATGTCCAAATACTCGAGCAATGTTAAGTGGTTGTCGAAGAGGAAGATGTCGAGGGCAGTGCAAGCTTTTCATGCAAGTTTGACATGCAGCAGCAGCACCTGTATTTGTCGTTATCGCGACGAGAATCGTCTTTGTTTAGCGGTAGCAGCACGGAAATGGTATCGAGCGGCCAGTATGAAATCTTGAAGCGACAGCGCGATGCGAGATCCTTCTTATAGCAAGTGAACGTGTGGTTGTGGACTTGATACGCGTAGGTATAGGGAAGGCCAGCAGGGACACCGAACACAAGTATGTGATGAGGCGCATAGTCGCAGGCATATCCTCGGATATGGATTCTTGGGGATCTGCCTCGAGCCACAGCAGTATGTGGGCGTGCGGGCTCCCGCGGTTTCGGAATTCAAAGCTCTTGAAGAAGTCAAGGACACGGTGCTACCGAAGGAATTG